TTGGATAGTTGGAATGTGGCTTTAGAAGTTGAATTAAACTGGACTTGGTGTCTGTTTTTAAAAAAAATATGTTATCTTCATAAATTTTAGAAAACACCAAAAATTCAGTTTAAATGTTGAATTGGAAATTTAAAAGGTTAATAATTTGTTAACATCCATGATACACAGAGACTGAAACAATTCACAGACTATAAATTTCCCAATGGACCTCATCTACGATAGCCAGGTGTTTGAAGGTGTCTAGACCATATGGTGATGTCTAGTGGAATGGTTCCTGTGGAGGGGAACTAGAAACAGTTTCTTGGAGCCTGAAGTATTCTTGCATATAAATGGCAAATTTCATTTTGAGTTTATTGTGGGATGGTTTGCTTGTCACAAGGGGTTTGCTAAAAAGTAGGGTTTGTAACTCCCACCCTGGAGTTGAGCTTGTGGAAGTGCATACTGTATTCCTTATCACAGCCCCTCCTTTGTTGTTGGCTCCATACAGCCATGCCGTCAGCTTGTTAGGTTTTAAGATTTGTCCAGATTATCACATTTTCTTTGATAAAAAAACTGGTGTATGCCCATTTATGGTCATCTTGTGCCTATATATTTAGGCATATCACAGTTGTTCAAACAAAATTTGATAGAGGTTGAATTAAACTGGAATTAACACTGTATAATAGGTTTTTTTTTTTTAAATAAAAGATACTGTCTCAGTCTGTATAAATTTTAGAGAAACACCAACAATTCAATTAAAACATTGAATTGCTCTTTTAAAAGGTTAATAATTTATTAACTTTGAATGATACACAGACCGAAACAATTCACAGACAGTATATATATGAGGATTCCCCAAGGGAGCCATATGGAATGTTTCCTGTGGGGGGACTACAAGTTTTTGTTGGAGTATTCTGGCATATAAATGGCAAATTTCATTATCAGTTTATTATAAAAAGCAAGGTGAGGTGGTTTGCTTATCACAAGGGGTTCGCTCAAAAAATAGGGTTTATAACTTCCACCCTGGTTACAAACCCCTTGTTTACGGTGCGGAATATATGTGACAAAGACAAGCCAAACCAGTCACTCGTTGCAAATCATGTTTTGGAAATAATGGCCAAAACATGCTGGAATGTCAAAATTTCAGAAATCTATTTTATTGCACTAAACTAACCTTTATATCTATACATCATGCTATGCTGTTATTTTCCTCATTTTCAATGTTAAAACAACAATTTTTTAACGATTTGGTGATGGTTTCTACCTAAGAAATGCCTGAAATCGTAAACTTTGAAGGCTGATTTCTCAAACATTGTGCTTTAAGCTCCGTATGTTTAAATTCCTGTAATTTCATAAAGAAATGTCAGATTTAAATGATTCTTTTACCATTTTATAGCTCTCATTTTACTGTTAAACTCTGTATTAATAACTAAAAATCAATTTTTGCGACAAGTGACTGGTTTGGCTTGTCTTTGCCACATATAGAGCTTGGGGAAGTGAATACTGTATTCCCCTATCACAGCCCCTCCGTTGTGGTCTCCATACAGCCATGCCGTCAGTCAACTGCAGTGTGTGCTAGGGATTATTAAATTTTCTTTGATAAAAAACTGGTGTATGCCCATTTGTGGTCATCATGTGCCTATATATGTTCATGATGTGATGTGGTCGCCATACAGCCATGCCTTCAGTCAACTGCAGTGTGTGCTAGGGATTATTAAATTTTCTTTGATAAAAAACTGGTGTATGCCCATTTGTGGTCATCATGTGCCTATATATGGTCATGATGTGATGTCATCATGACCATATTTAGGCATGTCACATTTGTCAAACAAAATCTGAAAGCAGTTTAACTGGAATTAACACTATATAATAGGCTTTTTTTTTTTAATAACAGATACTGTTTGTAAATTTAAGAAAAGCACTGCAACAATTTAATTAAAACGTTAAATCACTCTTTTAAAAGTTAATAATTTATTAACTTTCAGTGATACACAGACCGAAACAATTTACAGACAGTTTATATCTCAGGATTCCTCAAGGGAGGTTACCCACGAGAGCCAGGTGTTTGAAAGTGTCTAAACCATATGTGGCAAAGACAAGCCAAACCAGTCACTCATCGCAAAAATCGATTTTGAGTTATTAATACAGGGTTAAAGTGTAAAATAGGAGCTATAAAAGGGTAAAAATATTCAAATCTGACATTTCCTTATGAAGTTACAAGCATTTAAGCATACAGCTATTTAAAGAACAATATACTGTATGAGAAATCAGCCTTCAAAGTTTATGATTTCAGGCATTTCTCATGCAGAAACTACAGTATTACAAAATCATTAAAAAGTGTTGTTTTAACATTGTAATTGGGAAAAATAACAGCACAGCATGATGTATAGATACTTAAACCTTAGTTTAGTGAAATAAAATAGATTTTTAAAAATTTTACATTCTAGCATGTTTTTGCTATTTTCTTTGAAACACAATTTGCGACAAGTGACTGGTTTAGCTTGTCTTTGCCACATATGGTGATGTCCAGTGGAATGGTTCCTTTGGGGACTGGTAAAAGTGTCTTGGAGATGAAACATTCTGGCGTTTAGGTGGCAAATTTAATTATTAGTTTGATATTATTTTATGCAAGGGTGGCGTGGTTTAGTTTATCACAAGTGGTTTGCTAAAAAAGAAGAGTTCATTCTTCCGCCACCCCCCTCCCCAGGTTACAAACCTCTTTGGTATGGGCCTTTAATGTTTGTCAGAGTACATTTGTATCTTTCGCTATGCATTGATACTTGGCTTGCATTTTGAAGTATACAAAAAACATAAATTGATAAATATATAATAAAAACAGTGCTATAATATATTGCTGTCTCTTATACACATCTAATTGCCTTGCGCCCAAAACAACTTGCACTCGTTCCCTCCGGTCAACAACTGACTCAACCAATCTTTCTTTATTGTCCATCCTTTCGGTTAAAGTCTTGTGGGGAGCGATTGTTTATGGTTGCTGGGCCCAAGTTGTGGAACTTGTTACCTTTATTTATTCGTGAGTCACCTTCTGTCACCATTTTCAAAGAACGACTTAAGACCCACTTATTCTCATCCCTTTAATTTATTTTTTTTTCCTATTTCCATGCCAGCTAGTTTTTATAGCCTTAACTAGGATAGGAGGTGCCCGAATCCGAGATGGCCGAGACTCAACAGGTGCTGACTGTAGTTCAATTAGATTGAACCCTAGCCAGCGATGAGGGCGTATCCCCATACTTCGGTTTGGGTGCTGGCATGGTATTCAAATTTCACTTCTTTTTATTTTGTGGTTTTGGTTTCCGTTCCATCTTTACACTTGCCTGATAGCGCTTAGAGACTTTTTGTATTTTGCGCTCTATAAATTAATAACCATTAGCCATTAACCATTAACCTGTCTTGTCGTCAAATGCTTATAAGAAGAGGGTGTATCGCCCTGGTTCTTAATTTTGTCTGGTTCTTGTATTTTTGGCCAAATTTGTCGTGCAATCAATTTAATATGGCCCCTGAGGGGAAAAAAATTTTTTTTTTAAATATTTAAAACATTTTAAAAGCTCGGTTAATACTATTTCAATAAATTAAAGACACAAATGCAAGCCTTGTGTAATGTACACAGGGATAAGCAAGATGATATAGGCCATAAATAGAAAAAATTGTGCCAAAAATTGATCACTGGATGCTTTCCGTGGTCCTATTCTGCACCATGTGCTTCAAACAAGTAAATATTGTGTTATGATGTAGAGGTTCCACTCAGATATAAAATTAAACCCTGTAAATTGAACTATCAAAAAACACTGGTATACTTATTAGCTCAGCTAAATTTGACATAGCAGCTCAGCTCAGGGAAAGTAAAAACTTTATCATATACATGTTAAAATGTAATGATCGCAGAGTCCTGATGCATGATTTGAGACCCATGGTGGAAGAAGCCCATTGTTAAACTAAATTTAAGTTATCTTGCAATACATAGGTTTTATTGTCAATAACATTCATACTTAATTTTACATGGTAATAAAAAGTATTAAGTGAACCAAGGATCAGTGCTCATAAAAATACATTTCGATTGTGCTACAATTAATGATTCAAGTCATACAGGACTCTCTGCTGCCAAATTCTATTTCTATGTTTAGTTTTGTTGTTCACTGTGTTTTGTCAATTTAGCCTTCTTTTCAAGTCATACAGTATTGGCATTACACCAACTTTTGTGCCGCCAGGTTCCGTAGTTCTTTACTTTAATGTAGTTAGATTTAAATGTCTAGACTGAAAGCGTAGGCTTTTGTATTGTGATCAATGACTGTTACATTGATGATATGTTCCCACAGATATTTCCTGCAACCCAATTTTGGGTCCTGACCCAACCCGACCGCTGGTGTAGTAGAATTTAAAATACAATTTGAAATTGCCAAAAAAACTTATTTTTAATAGACTTATTTTAGCAGGAAGAGTTTGACCTAGATGTATAACGATTGCTTTCAACATGTCAGAGATTATCTTTGGCCTGTGAGATCAACTCTAAAAATAATTTGGCCCTTTAACTAAATTAATTAGGAAGCAGGGGTCTCTGTTATTTTCCCTGTATCAAGGACTAGTGCTGTCCATCTATACATGTGCAAGAGTGTGAAGAATTAGTTAGATTTGAATCCCCAACAAAGCCTCAGTGGATCAGTTGGTTAAGGAGTCTGCATAGACAGCAAACATCCTGGGTTCAAATCCTCTTTAAGATTCAAAATTTATATAATATAAACAACAATATCTGTAGCTTCATTTTGCCCATTGTTTACATTGTTGGTGTTGGCTTCTCCCTATATCCAATTCCTACTACATTCACTATCTCACTCACTGACAAAGGATTGTATAGCTCTGTCTTCTTTCCGGCTTTTCATCTTTTAGCGTTTTCTTAATTTCATGTCGCAACTGAGATCTAGCCATGAAATGGAATAAAATTAAATTCTAAATATTGTTATATGTCTATGTCCTTTGACATTATTATTTATACTACCTTGTCACAGGTTGCCTTCAACTTCTCATGATAATCAAAGTGAATCTGGATCGTATGAGTCTACTGGTGGATCGGTAAAGACGTGGCAAGGTGCCCCTCCTTCGCCGACAAAAGGTGTTCCTATCAAACACCATGGTTCAGAGACTGACTTAGGTACGTTCATATTTATAAAAAAAAATTATCCTGAAGAAAATATTTCATTAATGTCATGGTTCGATAATATAAAATATATTAAAAAGGGAGGTACAATCTTCCTTAGAGTGATATACTCAACACAGATAGTAATCACAGGACACAGTATCACTGTATAGGTAAGTATGTTTTATTCACTCATAATAAGACAAACGAAAACACTAAAATATATATTCAAAACGTTAATTATATAGTGCGTTATAACATGTATATCTCAGAATTTCTATATTAAATGTAATTGATCAAATGCACAAGCATATTAGGCCTAGTTTACAATTCAACAACAACTCTTATATAATCTGGCAACACACCCACATCAGAAACAAATAATTTGATAATTAAATTGCATCTAGCCTAAATATCAAGATGTAATAACTATTTAACTCAAGTTAGAATCAGCTTAATGCTCCAACAGAACCTCTGCAACTAGAGACTATTACTGGATGCCAAGCTAATGGCATATTAACTACTAAACATAACAAAATTATGGTTAATAACAATCACTCCATTAATGGAATGTAGAATAATGGCAATTATATTACCAATGCATTTAATAACAGAACCAGCATCAGTTCTATATATATTTAACACTGGCATAGACATGAAATAACTACAGAATATCATATAACTTGCCTATGATTCATTGTATCAATACTGACAGATGGTACTGTATGTCTTTTGATTCAAAGCTGGCAGTATAGGTGGCGGTAGTAGCGGCAGTGGAGGTCACCGAATGTCAAGAAGTGCACCCCCGTTAATGAATATTGACTTACTAGTAAGTTAATGTTTGGAAATACATTAGCCTACTACTCATCTCATTTTGGCTTCATCTTTTTTTTTGTGTTTTTTGTGTTATATTCATACTGAGCCTCTCTTTAATACCTGTAATTTTTTTTAAACTGAAAGGGCACTCAGTATATAGAACAAATGAATTATATATACTATAAAATAATGTATAATAATAATAATGATGTAATGAAATATAAATAATAATAATAATAATAATAATAATAATGATAATAATAATTATATATATATAATATAAAATCATACACCATGGTTGCATTGGCTTTATTTGCTTTTTCAAAAGCATCTTATTAGTTATTCTTATTCTTTATTTGGAAATGACACTTTTACAAAAGTGACACTCGTACGTAACAGTGTGTCCAAAGAGAAACAAAATCAAGTAAATCAAAGCTAATAAAAAAAATTAACAGAGTAAACAAAAAAACATACATATGTGTTAAACCTCCCTGCTTTCACCCTTCAACCCATATATTGAAATTCAAAACCCATTATCAATGTTCAATTGGAAACAATCCATCAATATCTCTTGGAGTTATCCTCAAAGGTGGCCCCATTTATATCTGGTTCACTTCTCGACAACTCTCATTTTATATATGTTGAAACTTGCGGTACACCACGTAAGTAGTTCTGAAAAGAACTGTTGTAGTTGAGAAAGTCTCGACAGTTCGATTGAGATGCTTCAATCGTCTTCAGGAGAATAATATCTGCAGACACTCCAAACAGAGAAATACTTATATGTTTGGGTAGAGAGGCTGGATGGTGATAAACTAACCAGTGGGTAAAAGGCTAAAACACAAGCTGGATGGTGATTGGATGGATAAACTGACCAATGAGAAGACTGCTAGTGAAAGGCTAAAACAAAAACAACAACAACAACAACATGGATTGAAATCGTTTCAGATCAGAATCATTGGAGGAATGCCCGCAGGGGAATTTAGAATTTTTAAAAAATTTAATAAAAAATTTTTTTTTATTTAAAGAAGCAAACATTTATTTTTTTTGTTTTTGTTTTTGTGAATTGGTAATCAATATTTCCAAAGAAATATCTCAGAAAAAGTAATAAAAGTTGTATGGTTAATTTTTTTTTGTGTGCAGGAATATCCATTTTTTACAATGACGTCATTTCCAACGGATTTCGTTGTCCATCTTGCGGGAATGGTAACAGCACGTTCTGTTAAACTTCTTGACAGGATTCATAATCCAGGTAATGTGCTGATTTGATTTGATTTAATGTGCTGATTTGATTTCAGTAAAATTGACAATATTTCAAATTATTTGTTACAATTTATTCCTGATTATCCTTGTAGTCGCTTGTAGAACTCTCAGTCATAAAAGGTTGTTGGTTCTATGTTAAAAGTTAGCATGGATGTAAGCTGGTTTAAGCCTGGGGAGGGGGGGAGTTTGTGCAAAAATTTAGAATGCAGCTGTTAAATCCCTATTTCAATGAAAAATAAATGATAATTTTTAATATTTTAACCAATGAAAACTAAATGGTCATTTTTTATATTTTAACCCACTCAGTAGAACTAATTCCCCACCAGCCTACTCCCAAGGGTTTTTACATGTTCTCTTATTTTAGATGAACCAGAAACACGGGATGCATGGTGGAGGGAAATCCGTACAGAGATCAGGTCACATGCAAATGCAATGGGATGCCATGCTGTGGTTGGTTACAGGGAAACGACGACAATATGGTTAGGGACATTTGTTTTCTTTAAAATGATTTGCGGAATTTGCACCTATTTTTGAGCCAGTGTATTAGCCCTAATATTACTGTACATACTTATGGTTGGGCAGAGTTTTTTTCTACTTTTATTTTACGAACCCACCACCATCAGTAAAAAAAGTTGTGAGTTCAACACGAAACACATGTCACAGTACTGCTTGTGTCCATTCACCAATTTTGCTAGCTACATTGGGTTATGGTTTCAGTCAATGAACTGCGCAACCGTGAGAGAAGTAAAAAAGATTGAAAGTACACCACCTTTGTCAAATTTACTCCAACAGTACAGGCAGACCTTATAGCAAAATCCACAAAATGACAATTAATAAAACAGATAATATGTGAGGTCTCACCAAGAAATTGAGATGATTCATTGGTGAAATCATATTGAGATATTCACCAAAATAAGCAAAAGTCAAAATTTTTACAAAATTTTGATTTTAATGTTTTTTAATAACTTATACTTATTTTTTGTGATTTTATACGTTTTAAATGAGTTTTCTTACTAAAACAGTGTTCTCTGCACATATTCTGTAATTGTAGTCCTATTATTTGTACAGGTTAGTTTAATATCTTTAAGGCCGATTTTCTTAACAGGTGGTTCTCATACACTTACACTTTAAATGCTCACATCTCTGGATCTAATTATCCTGGGAAGCCATTCAAAGACCAAATTAAAGCTTATAATGTGATCTACCCAAATATAATATACTCAGTATTTGATTTTCTAACCATAAGACTCATTTTGTGACCTCACATATATGTTTGTCATTTATACAGTGGGATAGAATATTTTTATTCTGTTAAAGATGGAATGTTCTTCAAAAATTGACAAGGCCATTTTATTCAACGTTTCGCTTTTATTAGTAAGCATCATCAGGATGCTTATAAAAGCGAAACATTGAATAAGATGGCATTGTCAATTTTTGTAGTGACATTCATAATATTTGTACTTAAACTCAGTTCACATTTTAATAGTTTCTGGAATGTTGTATCTTTTAACAAATTATAATATAAACCTTGTTAAATGAAGCACTCATTCCATTTTCATCCAATGAAAATAGTGTATCCTGTTACACTTTTTGACTTGTGCTTTTTAGATGTGCATTTGTATTTTTAATTTGTGATTGAACAACCTACTTCTTAAATACACACATTGAATAAGCATTGTATTTACATGATAATTGTGAATAATTTGATAATTGCCTATTTCATTTTTTAAATATCACAACAATAAGAATTACTTAATAACATTCATTATTTGTTTACTAATCCAAAACATAAGATAAGTATGTACCAGTTCCTAAGCCTTCTCTAAGCCTGGCTTAAATGTTGACCTTCTGACAATTTCATTTTCTTGTCCTAATAACAAATGACATGATTTTTGTCTAGATAATTTAAAATGTTCATATTATAGTGCTTCAGTATAATAATTTACTGTTTTTTTAACCATCTTGAACAATAGCTACAGTAATTATTAAGTAGCTGCTCACCTGAATTTTATTCATTATATTTTATGCCATAAAGAATGTTTTTGTTATCCAAGTACAAATCTGCATTCAATTAATCAAAATGTCAATGTTCTTTTTAGTGATGAGATATGTGTGTTATCAGCCAGTGGAACAGCAGCCATTGTTAATGTCAGCCTCCAACAGAGAAATCCAGCAGGTATCTTAACGGTGTCGTTGGATAGAACAGAGTTTATCAAAGAGCAGCAAGACGCAACATCTGTGAACGATGGGTAAGTTGTCGCTTGATGGACTATTCCAGTAAGCCCTGTCCCTTGGATATTCTTGCCAAGGTTCCACGAAACATTAGTGTAAATGTACGTAAACATGTGTGTTTGCAGGACACGCTCGTATTTCAGGCCTTGTTCTCATTCGTCAGTTGTTAAGTTTGATTGACACTCCAGAAAGGCTGCGTTGATTTAGTGATTGAACAGTTATTTACTTCTGAATACAGAAAACTGTAATAAGCTCTCTGGGGGCAGGTGAACCATTTAAAAGCATTTTTTTATGAGGTGTGCATTTGTAATTTACTAGCTTATACCTGTGCTCCGCACGATGTTAAATGAGTGGGGAAAGGTGGCGATGTATATAGTTGAATGGGAGGCATTGGCAGATCTGAGGGGGTGGTCAAAAAAAATAATTATAACAAAAAAAAAAAAAATTCAGGGCCTGTGAGCTGAAATTTGTTGTTAACAATTTGAAAAGTCAGGAAAGCTCATTTCCCGCCATCTAGGAATCAAAATTTTCCCGGGGAGAACCCCCAACCCCTTTTCTCTTTGGGGTTTATCGATTCATGGAAAAAAGAATACATATCCAATTACTCAATTTTGTTTATATATATGTATACACACATAATAGGAATATTTCCTGTAATAAGAATGAGGACATTTACCTCACCGTTTTCAAGATGGAAAAACCTAGAATTTTGAAGAACTTAAAAGACACCTCAGAAGTCGGAAAGCTATTTCCCGCCATCTAAGACTCAAATTTTCCTGTATGTAATATATCGTAGTTAATTATCTTCGATGTAATAACGAGGTAACTCTGATGTGTTCGTTGTTTGAATGCGATATTGTGGTATTGTCTATGAATGTGTGCATGTGGGCGGGTGCGTGGCACAATGACGTCACAACAGTTATGAGATTTGAAAGTAATCGGCAAGAAAATGTGTTAATTTTGTCAAAAGAACACATGTAGGATAACAAAATCAAGTCTTAATGTAGTGGATGTTCGTCTTGTTGGAGTAGCTACTATATGTGTGAAAATCGTAGTTGTACTTAAAATATTTTCGGAGATATTTGTTAACAAATATTAACAAAACGTTATTTTAGTAGTACAGATGTACAAAAACATTGAGATGGTAAATGTTTTGATGACACAACTGCCATCTTCCATTCTTAATCACCGACATTTATCAGGCATTTAAGTAAATATAGTATGGTGATGGTGTGTGGAAGATGATGGTATTGGTGAGGTCTGTTTAAGTATTACATTTAAACATATGGCGAAGAGTAATCCTCATTAGAGGCTGCGCTATTATGATAGCTAAGGGGTTAATGGCACTGTTCATGTACTTAAAAATGAAAGAAATGTTGAACACTGTGGTTAAGGCTTCTCTGTTTGTATAAACTGTTGGCTGGTATTTCATCAAAGCCAAGACCACTGCTGATACAGAAAAGCCAGTCCAAGACAAGATGTAAAACAAAATGATCAGAGAAAGGGTCAAATACGCCTTGTTACTACCCTTCAGCCATTTTTCTTTTCCTATCGTCTGGCCCTTGTTGATCCGCATTGTATCCTGTTTTCTTTCTGTGTTCACTTGGCCGGATGAGATCACATGGGCAGTTTGAATATCAACCTCAGCATCCTCCAGGTACCCAATATTGTTGTTACTTCTTTTATCCATAAGAACTTGGATGTCATTTGGTGTAGCAGTTTGTCTTTGAGAATGTGAAGTAGTTGTGCTAGGCAATGTTTCATTTTGATCCTTGGAAGGGATTACAATTGTCAGATTCATGCCTGCTTCTGATATCTTTGTCTCATTTCTGTTACTTGAGATTTCAACTTCAGAGTCAATGTGAGGGTGCACTGTAATCTGTCGTTTGTTCTCATTTGCTGAACCTTTTACGATTATCTTTTTGAGTTGATTACGTTTTTTAATTTTACAAAAAAGCTTTCCGTATATTAAGGTTATAATGGTGATGGGGCCCCAGAAATATATGAAAGTCACCAGAGTTGCAGACCATATGTGGTTATAGTATGCAGGAAGGCTGTAGAAATTTGACGTATCCGATTCCTGGAAGATGGTCAAAGATGACCGAAGAGAAGTCCATACTAAAGTAGCAGTTGCCCAAGGGGACAGGCACATGATCAATAGTCTCTTAGTTGACCTATTCAGTCTGTATTTTACCGGACGAGTGACTGCATACAACCTGTCAATAGCAATTGTGATTATGTTGAAGTTTGACGTGAGAAGGAGAGTGTTGTGGATGTCTTTCATGGGATTGTTAATTCTGTCGCATGCTGATTGGTCTGGTGACGATATGCAAATGATCCCGGCAATAATAACAAGACCTGTTGATATGTCTGCCACATTGAGGCTTAACACCAGGAAATTTGTGTATGTTCGCAGATGTTTTTCTTTCCAGAATGCTAATAATGTCAGCATGTTAGAAATAAAGATGATTAGTCCCAACAAGACACTACATGTGATCATGAAGATTGCTCTTTGACCATTACCATCAGAATGTGTTGTTTCATCTGTAGTCAAATTTGTTAGATTCTCCATGGCTGCAACGTTTTACACTTCTGTAGCTTGAGTCTATAAAACAAGTGTTTTAATCAGTTATATGTGTTGTAGTTCATCAGTGGCATATCTAGAAATTGACAGTGGTGAACTTATGAGAGGGGGCCTGAAGGTTAAATGGAAGGGTGCCAGCTGCCAAAATATGGAAATCATATCAATTTGGTTGGTCTACTTCACTGCAAGCATGCTGCCATGAAAATAACCATATCTCTTAACCATTAGTGCTCTTCAAAAACATTGATTTATTTTACTATAAAAACAGTAACTCAAAATCTAGAGGTTGGATACATTAGGTTGAAAAGGTTATAAATATAGCTGTTTACTGTGCTCAATCCGTACTTTTTTCTTTCTTGCACACTCACAGTATTAAAAATATTACTAGTTAACAAATAGAGATTCTAAGTACAAGTATTTGCCAAATTATTATAACACAAACCTTTCGATCTAGTAAAGACTAATCCTTAATATCACATCGGATGTACTTGGTATTATTGCAAATACTATCATAATTTTCAATACTGTATTAATATTATAAAGGTAGATATAATGCATTCAGTATTACAACAAAGTGGAAATTGTGGAAATTCAAACAAACGGAATGAGAAATTTCTCCTCCAAGGTGAAGTACCACATTCTCCCTATACCCCTCCACCTTTTTTAGGTGGATCTGTGAAAGGCTTCCTTGTTCCAGAATTAAGCAAATTCTTTCTGGCTATTTTTCAAAATATTTTTGATTGGTTCCTCTTTGTTAGGGGTAAATTCATCCACATCATGGTTATTAGAAATTTAAAATATTCTTTATTTTCATATCGTAAGAGAATTTTTAAAATTGTATTTTATAATCTTTGAAGATTTTAGTTACTGTATAGTCTTGTTAATGACGTAAATTTTGAACCCACTTAAAGAAATAGAATTTAAAACACTGATTTCTACTATAATAGCTGGATTGCTCATTGGCTGGTTTTAGTGAGGCCACCAACGCCGTGTTGGGAGGCCTAAGTGACGCATCATTTTAGACAAGTTTTTTTTGGCATTTGTTTAAATTATTGTTAAAAATAACGATTCTTGCAAAACTTTTTAATAATAAATTTGAATTTAAAGTAATGATTATTATCATTGTTTGCTTTTGTTAGACTTAGGATATTTCTTGGGTTTTGTTTTTTTTCTGCTTCCAAGACTTTGCATTTCAAGGGCATAGAGACTATTGTAATATGCGCTTAATAAATATACAGCCATTACCATCATCTATCTACTTGATGTGACTTTTTATGCAGTTTAAGAAAGTGCAAACGAAGTTATTTGCGTTGTTAGGGATTGAAGTCACTATAACAATGCGACTTCGCTCGCGCTTTTGAAAACTGCATAAACAGTCTCATCTAGTGGTTAGATGGTTTGAAAAAAATTCCTACGTTAAATTTAAATTTATTATTGAAAAGTATTGCAAGAATCATTATTGCTGCGAGTCACCAGACGAGCAGCAACACTAATTTCGATGTACACCAGTAAAAAAAATTTCCAGTACTGAAGATGAATTTTCTGGAGAGCGTTGGATGGTTTCCGGTTTTCAGCCCAAAAGCGCGATAAAATTTGAGTGCTTTTCAGACCCTTTTCGAGATCCACATGGTCCCGGCGGCGTGGATTTCAATCCATGTCATTGTCAGTTTAGAGCTTGATGGTTTCGGATGTGTTCATTTAGAGTTAGAATTGAATCGGTAAGTATCCCATTTTCAAACATTTATTATGTCAAGTCTTAGAAGTGTTAGAAATTGCCAGATTATTTTGATGTCTGTATGTGGCAACAGGCTCATCATAGACGCTATATTGTAATTTTGTGACGATAAATATTTTTTTCTATAATTATACTTAGGAGGTAGCTATATATTTTGATCTCCAAATATCTTACTAATAAATCAACATCTAATAAAATATCGAATAAAATAATAGTAATCGATAATTATATTGAATATATATGTTAGTAACAGCTTTTATGTGTGAATTTGGTAACAAATATTGCACTTGAATCTTATATGTTAATTTACACAATCATGTACTTTCATTTGCAGATTATTGGTTGCACATGTATATAGTTAGTTTGTCAGTTTCACATGTGTCCTGTGAAATTGATTTGGTAAGTACTGTATTTTCAAACACTTATGTGTCCATATTGCCTAATTAATGCTAGAAGTGTTGATTATGGTCATCATATTAGTGATGTTTCTAGAGTGTGATTGTGTCCTGTTTATGAGTATTTAAGGATAATTAATTAGGCTGAAGGTTGCTAGTCTCTTCTATTTGAGGCTAGGCCTAACGTAATATTTGGAGGTAGGTGTATATTGATATCCAAATATCTTGCTAATAAATCAACATCTAATAAAATATCTCATAAAATAATAGTAATCGATAATTATATTGAATATATATGTTAGTAAAACAGCTTTTATGTGTGAATTTGGTAACAAATATTGTGCTTAATCTTATGTTAATTTACACATGTACTTTTGTTTGCAGGTTGTTGGTGGTTGCATACAATCCAGGTCATTGTCAGTTTAGAGCTTGACGGTGTTGCATGTGTTCGTTTAGAGTTAGAATTGAATTGCAAAGGAAAAGTAACAACATGAATAAGGATAAGAAGCCTACAGGCTATCACATATTTACGATGACCTTCTACACCAACCCAGGAAAAGACCTCAAATACCAACAGAAAGTGCACGTTATCGGATGACATCGGCCGATGACAAAATGACCTGACATTAGGTCATTTACCTGATGAAGGTATTATTTCGAAACCGGTTTAAATACCGTAGTATTTAAACAAGTTTAAATATTAAAAATCATATTGTTGATAAAGCATTTATTTAAATACTGACACTGAAAAGCATATTGTGAATAAAGCGTTTATTTAAAAAATGTAAAGCATATTGTAGATAAAGCATTATTTTATTTAAAGATTTTAATGCTGAGAAGCACGATATGCATATACCATTTTTTTTAAACATTTAATTTCTGTGAGGCATGTTCTTTATTTAGCCACTTTTTTGAAACAGTTTTAAATATTTAGAAAATATTAAAAAGTTTTAAATATTTTTTTGTTAGAACAGATTTAAATACTGTGAATGCTATTGTGGATAACACTTTTCTTTTTGACATATTTAAATACTGTGAAGCCTATGTGGTTAACAATAAAACAAGATCGACTACTAACATGTCTATTAGTATATTATTATGTTGTTTTGTAGCATTGTAAACACAATTTTTGAAACCCATTCTCATAAGTCACCAAATCATACATTTCTACCAACCTTTAA